GTATCACACTGTAGCAAAAGTAATCATACTGCACAGTGGCAATACTACTCAAAATATGCACAAATGAACAGAATATTTTTAATTACATGCATTTTATGGATGTTTTCCTTAGTATTTTGTATGATGAGTTATTTCTGATAAAACTAGCACCGTTAAAATGAGACTTCGTGTAAAGTATAGGTTATAATTTGCCGGTACACACCAATATTCAGCCCTCCTCACAATCATCAGCATAGGTCAGCCAATACTAAATTTAATCGAGATTCATTTAGTATTTTCAGAGCTGAATCACAAGAACAGACAAATACAGGGCGATTCACAAAGTTCTACCCCCACTTAGGGAGGGCATTCCTGAGATAATTTGGAACAAAAAATAATAATATGCTAATGGTATCCAACTCATAATTAAAGAGATACAGTAATTTCAAAACTGGCGAAAAATCTTTTTTTCTTCGAATTTCGGTCAAAACAAATTAGAAATACAATACAAACACTTTTTAAATCGCTAATATTTTAGGAAAGAAGCATTCTGAAACCATTTTTTTTAATTTCTTAATTTTGCATTGTGTAACATTATTCATCGATTTTATGTTACAAAATGACATTATTTTCAGCATCCCATTCTGTAAACATACCAATGGTTGCATATCACACCTTTCTATCAATCTGTTTCCTTTAAACTGTAGTGCTTTAGAAGACGACTAGATTTACATAAGATGCGCTTCACGTGTTTGTACCTTTACCTGGTACACAATGTCCTTCATCCAGCCCCAAATGCAATAATCTAACTGTGTTAGATCTGGCGACCTGGGAGGCCAGGTGTTACGGCCTCCGCGACCAATCCACCGCTGTGGAAAATACCGATCCAAGTGAGCTGCTACTTCGCGGGGGAAGTGAGGAGGCGCCCCATCATGCTGAAAGTACATCCGGCGTCTTGTTGCCAGAGGACCATCTTCAAGTAACTGTGGTAATTCTTCTTCTAAGAAGTGGAGGTAAATCTCACCAGTTAAGGGGCCAGGAGAAATGAACGGCCCGATTAGCTGATCATACAGAACACCACACCAGACAGTGACACTGAATCGGTGTTGAAAATTCGATTCTATCGTGGCACGGGGATTATTGTCTGCCCAAACATGTACGTTGTGACTGCTGTTGACCCCTTCCCGTGTAAACTGTGCCTCATCGCAGAACATTATCAAGCGGTACAACTGCCGATTTCCATTTAACCAGTTGCAGAACTGCAGACGAAGAGCAGTCTCCTGGTTGTAGGTGTTGTACTTGCTGTATATGATAAGGATACAGCCCGTTCTCTTGAAGAGTCCTCCACGCCATGGACTGAGAAACACCGAACCGCCGAGCCAGACGTCTTGTACTGGCACGCGGACTGCGCTCTACAGCATCGAGAATGTTTTCTTCTTTGCACAATTCATGTTGAGGATTTCGTTCGTATTGTAAACGAACGCTGGGGAGAGAACCAGTTTATCTTAATGTGTTGAATGTACTTCTAATGGATTTAGGATTTGGAATCCTGCGATTAGGATAACGCCGGTGATATTCGGCAGCAGCGGCTCTCGCATTTCCATCAGATACACCCAAAACAAACACCATATCGACGTATTCCTCAGTGGAAAATGTGTACGGCATCTTAACTTCACAAAGTCACCAACACAGCGTCCTGTTTACTACTGGATCGCTCTGCCTACCTACGTGCAACATTCCAGCCGGTCTGCCTTACCTGCTGACACAGCTGACTGGAACGCATGGTCGCCCAGTGGGGAAGCATAGCGCTGCATTCACAATGATGCGTTTCGAAACATCTATTGTTACTCCGTAACTATTGAAAATCGGCCTGAAGTTCATAAGGAAATTTTGCAGGAAATAACCCCAGGAATGTGTACCATAAGCCGGGGTAAAACTTCACGAATCACCCTGTATAAGCCTGTATGATGTGATGCATACACTATGGTTCATATTTACCATCTACCTGGTTACGTCATCAACAACTTCTTTAGTGAATTCTGAAGAGAACGTGATTTATTTTAAGGGACTTTTCCGACGTTCGCCTGAAGAAACCAACGCAAACCCATAACAACTTAAAATAAAACAGCAAGCCACATCGACACCGGGTCCCTTCTATTACGAAATAAGAGTAGTTACTACTCAGCCGAAAATTTTAGTTGGAAGGTAGGTCCATTAATACTTTTGTTTTTATGCAGCTGCTGTTCAGGGGAATCGTTTTCATCTCTGACACATAGCTTTACACGTCCTCCGTTTCCTACTTCAGCTAATAGCGCAGGATAACTCAGTTACCAGGACCTTAACATCCATATCGCTTGGGAACGTATCTCTTTATTAGTACAGTGTAGTGTACATCTGTCTGCTTTGCAGCGGCCCCTGATTCCCATGGAGTTCAAAGAGAAAGTCATTAGTTGTATCATAAACGATTCGTTGCAGAAAAGGCGATCGGCCTAGTAAATAACCAACTAATTAAACTAACTAGCTGATTGACTTACTAGCTGAATCACAATCTGAACTAATGTAAACTAAATTAAATCAAACTAAAGCTAGCTCTGAAAATAGAACCAGAAGATTGAAGAGTATTGTCACGTATTTAGGGTGTGACTATAGACGGGGTACGGATTGGTAAATAGATTTATTGACCACTTGTATGCATCACTCGGAACTACACTTTACAGGTCACTGTCACACAAGACTAGTGTCTTCAGTCTATTACAGTCTTCACAAGCCATTTCCTGGCAACGGATTTTACCTATGGAAGTTCTTAAACTTCCTGCACTCAGGTCCTTTTGTCACTCAACTAACTGGGTCCCCTGCTAGAGGCTATTTCACATCAACCTCTTAAGTGTTCTCTTCATAGGCCGATTTCCAGCTGTCAACTGAACTCTCTCATTCATCAACCAGCTACTTCACGTCACTTCACTCAACTGAACTGCTGACAACTTCAACCAACAAATAACTCCGGAATTCGACTGACTGTGCTTATAACATTTCGACACGAACTACGCAAAAAGAAGTCCCACTAATGTTGTAGAGGCCTATTTACCGCGCCGTTGCATAGCAACGGTCATGGCGCGGACAACTTAAGAAAACGTTCTTCTATTATTGCGTGCGTGTATGTTGCGGGTGTTACATAGTGATAACCGCTGTTTACAGAGTCATTGCTTGGAAACGAGTCTATACGCCACAGTATTAACACCAAAGCTCACCATTGGACAGGACCCTGCGCCAGTTTCGATCACCTTCCATACTGGTAAACTATTTCTCTATATTTCATCCCAATGTTAGCCTTTCATTTCATCTTGGTTTTCCAAATGGCAGTTCTCTCGCCATTGTTCTGTATTCATTCCTTTCTGGGGCCTTCTACGCGTCTATGCAATTGCAGCTCGACATAAAATACACAGAATGCTCGAAAAGTGACTTAACCATGTGGTTAAATATCGTGATGCAGTTTGAAAAAATACAATTATAATTATGGTGAACTTCCGAATTTACGGCCACTTTCGGTGATGCATGTTTTTATTTATTATTTATTTATTTTTTTTTTTCGCACATTTGGTTCTGCGCGGCGATTGTCTGCTAGAATAATTTCTGAAATGCATTTCTCATTACTCTGCTATAGTTCTTAGTTTTTGCGTACATTATCTTCTAAAAAATTTCAAAAGACATATTAAAGCTCTATAGATTCAGAGATTTGAGTTGATATATATTTCAGAAAGTAATGTAATCACAAAGAATTCTTAAAATATTATTTTTTGTTCTATGAGCTCTTCATCCATCAAGTTGGGAGCAGTCTCCTACCTCAACTTCTAGAAGAGAAATGAATTGCCTAATGAATAATTGGTAACGTCTGGCATTGAGAGTTCCGCTGCAGAATGACTGACAAATTGCATGTCAAAATGAAACTTCTAACAATAATCTAACTTTAAACAGTAACCGTTTCTTGTGGAAAACAGAGAGATTTTCAGTACGTTCTGCTTGGCTATTTGCGTACTAATACACCCAGAGTTATGGAATGAAACGTCGGTTAAAATAAACTTTATTCAGAATGTCTACACCACTTCATATTACGTTTCCACATTAATATCAACATTAAAGTCTCCTTTCCTTTCTTAGGTTCCTTCACTTCATGTATGATGTGAATACGATAAGGAGTAAAAAACAGAAACCAAAAGTTTGTGGCAAAGGTGTGTTATTAAGATGAGGCAAGTTGCACTTTTTAAGCATCGCATTTTTGGTTAAAGCAGTTTTAACCAAAAACTAGAAGCTGGAAAATATTCAAATAGATCTTTATGTTGGCCAGATTACAAACCGTCTTTTCCTAATGCAAAGCGTACATTAGCATATGAAAATCCACTTTACTGTATACTTTATATATATATATAAGTTCTGTCGAGTTCATAACAAATTTTGTGTTTTCCGGAGATCCAGCACTCGATACTAAAGGTCGACCCGGAAAGCTTCTTACCGCCTACACTTCCTGCTCCACGGGAACTTCTTATCCGTTAGAAACCGTTACGATATAACGGATACAGGAGACTCACGAACCTCACGCACAAAGTCAGTCTGGCAGGCTAAGTACTAACGTGACGTAAGGTAGAAGAGTGCTTAGGGCTTATGGGGAACATACACGTATATTCGGGAATCGGCTCTTTACGCACAACTGGCAGAACTAAAGGGCAATATTCTGGCGAGTTGGGCAGGATAAAGCGTAATGCAGTCAGTTATAGTAGTTTCGTTCAAAATTACAGAAATTCGACGAAATAATTATTGTAACTCCACTTTTTTAACAGCGGACTATGTATAATAGTGATTGATGACCAAATTTAAAAGGAATGTTAATTGGAGGGGAGCTCCGAAATGTTCTCAGAGAAAAGTGTCTCAGTGCGACTTGGTCCACGAAAACTGAACGCAGCCAAATGCGTGGCGTGGATCGGTTTCATTTAAATTACGTCTTCACTTAATGCTTCAGCTTCCCTTACCTGGATGTGCGAGTTGACGATGAATTCATTGCGTCCCCCATACCGCCACTGCCCAGTCTGAATCTGGGGAATGGAGGTCAGACGCCACGAGGGCTTTTCCTCCTCGGCGTGGTACCACACAAAGATGATGTTATTCTCCTCACACGATGGCCATTTCTTTACTCGAGCGAAGTCTGGCACTGGAATTCACAAGATTTCTGAAAAACTCTCAAAGTATTTCACTGTATAATGACATCGGTCTGTTTAAATGCTGTCTCAAAGCTGTCGATTCGGAAAGAATTTCTTAAAATTCTGCAACCTCAAGTGGAAAGGACGGAGAAACAGCAGACAGTTCTGCAGAAATCTTTCAAGGAAGAAAACTGTTCTATATATACACCACATATACATGATGCCAAATCCCAGAAGACTGCTTTCTTCTTAATATTCAGGTACTTTAAAGGAAGGCTCATAGCCAAAATTACATATAAGCCAGTGTTTGGGACAGATATGACCAGAAGGAAGAGGGCCAGTTAGTAAATAGAATGGACGAAAATATTAAAATATATTTTAAGAAACATTTTGTGTCTTGGAGGGTATCCTCTGTTGTTCACTATATGAACATATGATTTTGGTTCGACGTCCCTTTAAGATGGAATCTTATGCAGTATCATTTATTGTGCAACTGTGTTACGTGATGTGCTCAATATGCTCATCATTCAACACGATACGACACGTACATATATGAAATCGGAACTGCCACACTTCAAGGGCACTGTGAATGACGCTGAGCTGGATCTGATAGCATGCATTCACTGCTGGAGGTGCACAGTACCGCATATCGTCTCGGCATATTCCAGGGCCTTGAGATGGTTCAGAAAATAAAAGCCGAGGGGCTTGGTCGGGATACCCCATAGCTTCAAAGCCAGTTGAGTGCCTTAGGAACTGAATATCCAACCAGTGTGTCATTTTCAGGTTATCATGCGCGAGCATCAGCGTGCTGGAACCATTTTGGGAACTCTTTTCTGCATTGAGCACGCTGGAAAGCGCTTCCTCTCTACTCATGTCAAGATGGCTGCCTCCTCTGGCGATGCCATTGAGGGGCCTGTGATTCAAGACTTATGAGACACTGAATTCTTGGGCGTTTTGTTATGAGGAACATATCTCTGAAGTTGACATTTAATTTCACTTGTTCCGATAGATTTTTAAAGTCTTAATGTTTTAAGGGTTGGTTATTTCAGAAATATTAATATGGTCTCGGGATTTGCTGACTTGTTTCTCATGCCCAATACAGAGCGCCTTAATCACTATTGGGAATTAGACTCGGTCTGTACTCTTCATATGCCGACTAACAAAATTATATCAAGTTTCTGGCCTACTGTAATTGCACTGAGTCTACAAAATATGTTAACTGGGTATGGGTTCTAAGCAAATTATTTGGCTAATGATTAGTTATCAGTTAAATTAAATAATTATTAATAATTAATAATAAGTAGATCACAGTGACCGCGCAGTCTAAGGCGTGAAATGTTTTCGTCCACTAAACATGGGGATAGTGGGTTCGAATCCTGTTCGAGAGATGGATGCCTCTCTGCTTTTGTTCTGTGTTTGTATTGTCCTGTGTAAGAGGTTGTATCGGAAAGTTCCCGGACTGTTATTCTTGTAAATGCNAATAAGTAGATAACAGTGACCGCGCAGTCTAAGGCGTGAAATGTTTTCGCCCACTAAAGCAAGGGGATAGTGGGTTCGAATCCTGCTCGAGACATGGATGCCTGTCTGCTTTTGTTCTGTGTATTGTCCTGTGTACGGGTTGTATCGGAAAGTTCCCGGACTGTTATTGTTGTAACTTTCTCGGTGAAAGAAGATGAGAGGGGAGGCAAAAGTCACACTTTCACAAGCCTATTGCATCAGTCTGCACGTGACACCGTGCTGTAAATACATATTGTTTTTACACGAGTGCTTTATCGACTTCTCTTTCCCTACTGTCTGCGATGGATGGCAAAATCGGACAACGTGCCTACATCAAGTTTTGTGTGAAGCTCGGTAAATCCGCTACCGAAATCCTTGAAATGCTTCGTGAGGCTTTTGGACAACATTCTTTTTAAGACGGACAGCGGTTTTTGAATGGTATTCACATTTCAAGGCCGATCGAGTGTCAGTTGAAAATGACGAACATTCAGGGCGACCAAGCACCGACAAAACAACAAAAAATTTTTAAAAATTCGAGTACTCATCCACGAAGACCGTCGCCCAACAATCCACACGTCTATGAAAACCAGAGAGTTTGTGACTAACAACAACCTGGTTATCTTTCCCCATCCTCCATACTTGCCGGACTTAGCCCCGTGATTTCGCTTTGTTTCCCAAATTGAAAATGAAACTGAAATGGTTTGAAGTAGTGTCTGACATCCAAAGGGAATCACAAGCGGTACTAGACAGCATTAAAGGAAATGACTTCCACGGTGCTTTTGAAAAAGTAAAAGTAAAGGTATCTCTGTAACAGGCCGTGGAGGCCTATAAGGTTGTGAGATGTTGAGGTTCCCACATTTTTCTAGACAATGGGCTCATAGATGGCGGTAAGTTTGTCAACCTTACACGCCGGCCGCCCTTTACCCCCAAGAACATTCTAAGAATATTTCTGGTACTGATTTCTGTTAGAGGCTGAGTCGATCCCAGGGCCATAGTGCGGCTGGAAGGATTAAGTATATTAAAAATATCCAATGACCTCATCGGGATTCAATCCCGCGACCTTCCGGCTTGTAACATAGTGCCTCAACCAACTACGTTACCACGATGCTTCTGAAGCGTGGGAAAAAGTTATAGGGTTGCTGTATTACGTTCCCAAGGAGACTGTTTTGAAGGAGATGGCAGCCAAAATTTGGTAAGTTAAGCCAGCATTTCTTTTTTGATCTAGTCCGGGAGCTTTCCTATAAACCTCTTAGACAGCATCCTTGCGTCGAGCTGATCTCCCGTCCAAAGAGTCCTACAGACTGTATAGAAGATTTGTAATTTCAGAATTGCTTCTGATAGGAAGCAGGCAAGACAGCCTAATCTGTCAAAGCAGAAGAAGAATTAAAAGTTAAACTATGTTAACGGATGTACAATGGATAATGTCCTATCAGGCCGCGGGTTCATGTCATCCTCATCCTTCCTCAGCCACTGACCGAGCTCGTAGGATTCGGATTAAGCGATCCATACTGCAAGCAGACGGGAATCTACTGCTTCATTTGCATGTGCTTCACATTCCTGCTCGCAATGGAACCAGTGTCCCAACTTTCAGAAAGTTTAAGTATGTTTATAAAAACCCTGAATTGCAGGACCTAACTTGCATATTTGGCATAACCATCAGCCCACAGATCACAGTAAGCCGTTGCTGTTGCAGTTGTTTTTGTCACGTTTAAGCATGATTAAGTTGAAGTTTCTGCGAAATTTATTTGCGACGCGTTTCTACTGCACTCATCATCATCATCACCATCAGACGCGAATTTATGATAGACTAGTGAGTGTGCTCCTCCCCCCACTTCCCTGCTCGTGTCTTTCTTTTAAAATTAACTGCATAGATATAATTAAACTTCCTTGCTATTGTGAAAATCTTATGAATATACATTCGCATTAACAAAACAGGTGTACCGAAAGAGTCTGTTTCTCCCGAGTCTTATCTTAAAATGAGAGGTACAGAAGTAACAAAGTTGCTTATTATTATATCATCATCATAATCTTCGTCGTCGTCGTCGTCGTCATTATTATCATCATCATCATCATCATCACCATTAAAGACTGTCTGTTCTTCTATGTGGATACTAAAATTGCTTTAAAGTTAGGACAATCCTATAAATAAGGATAGGTGGCCAAGCATAGTCCCCATTCCTAATTTATTGTCCTGCGGTTTCTGTAAAGTGACAGGGCCGTAGCGATATGAGTCACGTCGGGTGTGTCGTAATGGTTTCTGTAACAATTTGATGCATGCATATGTCAATGTACTGTATTTGCCAGGGAAAATTAATTTATATTTGAGAGAAAAATTATCCTTGTAACAGGCCGTAAAGGACCACAGGGTTGTGAGACGTCAAGGCTCCCACATATTCTCTAGAGAGATGGTGGTAAGATTGTCAGCCTTACGCGCCGGCCGCCCTCTAAACCCCAGGAAGATTCCTGGTACTCATTTCTGTTAGAGGTGGAGTCGACCCCAGGGCCATAGTGTGGTTGGAAGGATTAGGTCAATTGAAAAAAATCAACCTCATAGTGACTCGAACCCGAGACCTTCCGGATTGTAGCATACTGGCTCAACCAACTATGCTACCGCGTGCCCCATATTTGAAAAGATTAAAAAAGTAAAAAGTAAAGCTATCCCTGTACCAGGCCGTGAAGGTCCATAGGGTTATGAGACGTTGAGGGTCCCACATTATCTAGACAATCGGCTCAAAGATGGCGGTAAGGTTGTCAACTACGTAGTTATTCAAAATGTGCAGTGGTCTTTAAGATTATGGAACTTAAAGACCACCGCACATTTTGAATAACTACGTAGTTCATCAATATCTGACATATGCAACAATTGGGAAACATTTTATATACTAAGACTGGTGCGAGGAAAGCAGTTTGGTGGTATGAACAATAACAATGATCCTTCAGGATGGTCCTAGTACCACCCCTTCAGTGTTCCTAATATTGCCTCGGGAGCGACATTTGGGACATCTTTGGATGTCACTGATTTCCAAATTTCTGTGCAGACGCCTCGACGAAAGTCTTGGAAAAAAGATCCAATATTTAAAGCAGTGGATGCTCTCTGAAAGGGGAAATGGGTTATTTTAACCAGAAAATCTTTCATTCTTTCTCGCTCAAAATCCAGACACTACGTTAATATGTATGAGGAAAACACATACGAATAAGTTTGAAAACCATTAGGAAGAAAACTAATACAGCCAACAGAACTTGTAGGTTTGATGTTGTACTTACTTACTTACTTACTTATGGAGCTGAGCCCTTCTTAAGGAGAAGACAAATCTGCAGCTACTCAAGAATTTCCAAGCATTTTATGGAACCCGAAGGTTCATTACAGTGTTCACAAGAGCCCTCCACTGGTCCTTATCCTGAGCCAGATCAATCCAATCCATACCATCCCATCCTATCTTTCTAAGATCCATTTTAATATTGTCCACCCACCTGCACCTTGGTTTCTCCAGTGGTCTCTTTCCTTCTGGCTTTCCCACCAATATCCTATATGCATTCCTCTTCGTCACCATTCGTGCTACATGCCCTACCCACCTCATCCACCTTTACTTTATCATTCTAATTAGGTCAATTGAAAAAAAACCCAATGACCTCATCGGGACTTGAACCCGCGACCTTCCGGCTTGTAGCATAGCCCCCTCAACCAACTACGCTACCGCGTGCCCCCGCCAAATTCACTAATGCAATAAAATAAAACGGAACATTCGAAAGAAAACACAGGAGAAAATCAGCCTCTAAAATTACAGGTAACCGACCTAAAAGCTGAGACTCAATAGAATCTCCATGCAATAAAGAACAGTTTTCTGTTTTCATCAGATGACGACGATAGCGAGTGTCGCTATTGAAGTGAAAAATCATATTTTATGAAAAGTTCAATTTTACAGGAATAAATTTAAAATTTTGTGATTCTGAATTTCGGGCCACATAAATGGATGGCTGCACCACTGACAGCGGTGGTAGTACTCCTTTGCCATTGGCTTTACGCGCGAAACAATAATGGGGAGACATTTGGGTCTTTAGCATTAGGCCTCTGTGATAGACCAACAAAATTATATCTGAGCTCCTGTAACATACCTGTATGCAGTACCTGTGCATTGCCCTATAACTGATACATGAATGTTACTGCACTGCAAGATGCGAGTAATCGAGCTCAGATTAAAAGGTAAGAGGACATGATGTCACATTAATTTTAATTATTTACACCAAATTATCTGTATTTAGTAATAAATTCAAGTTCTAAAACAACAGGACGTGATATCACATATGTTTTTATTTATTACCTGTTGCCACGTGGTGACCGTTTTATGCAGTAAACGGTTATCAAGCGGCTAATCGACGTTGATCATAGATGGAATAATGCATTATGAAACCTCATACAGCGTCATCACAACCACAGTATAGTAGAAAGCGAATTGATAAGGAGAAAGTTATTTGTAGGCTACAGACAAGTTCATAAATTTGAACTTAATGTAAATTTGTGTTACCTACAAAATATGAAAAACAGGTAAAAGTGCCTGATAGTGACAATAGAAGTCACAACGCTTCCCAGATAATTGTTCATACAAACTCCTTTTAATTGGTGTTGCAAGATATGCAGGTAAAATTAAGGGTTCCGTATTCCTAAGCACCAAGCTGTGAAGAAGTGTGAAGACTGCAAGTCTTATCCTCGGCTTTAGACGGAGCCGAATGGTTTGATTCAGTCTCCGGCCGCCTTATCGACAGGGAAGGAACCCCGATACCCGTTTGACTTCGATCGAAGGTTGTTTGGATCCCAGGACAAATATCACTACGCCTTCCGGGAATTGCTCCCAATCGTTGAGTCCATAAGATCTGAGCTATAAAGGTTGGTATTTTCTTGTGCAACACAACTAACCGTCACACGTAACTAAAATACATATCGCTGCAAAACACAGTGCACAAGAAAGAGGGCGACCACTATATGCAGTACAGCATTTTACATCACTTTAAATTTCTTTAAAATAATTTCATAAATTACGTAATTTAACAGAAACCAATTCGGGGTTTTCAGACAGCAAAATTCTCGGACGTACAGCTCTCATGGGCTATATAATAATACTACAATACGGTATAACAATTCAAGCAAATCTGATATATGCCTGATGATGGGCCCGTGTGGCCGAAACACGTTGCTGAATTTACACGAAAGGATGGGCTAAGTGGCGATTCGACCAACAGTTGCATTGAAGACTATATTGCACACACACTGGGGGCATTCGGTAGCGTAGTTGGTTGAGGCACTATGCTACAAGTTGAAAAGTAGTGGGTTGGAGTGAATTCTTTTTAATTCACCTAATTCTTCCAGTCGCACTGCGGCAATAAGGTCGACTCAGACTCTTAACAGACATGAGTACTAGGAATATTCCTTGGGGTTAAGGGCGGCCGGCACATAAGACTGACAACCTTACCGCAATCCGTTAGCCGATTGTGTAAGATCTGAGGCTTTTCCCACCGCCATCTGGTGCCGAATGTCCAGAAAATGTGGGAGCCTCGTCGTCTCACGACTCTGTGCGCCTCTACGGCCTGTTACAGGGATAGTTTTACCTTACCTTATTGTACACACACACACACACATACACACAGATGTATACACGTATAAATCAGATTTAATATTAAGAGTTTTCGATTTGACTTGTGCACATTATAAAGTGTTCCAGGACCCTGTGATGCCTAATATTTTGCAGAAAATCACCAGTTAGGCAAAACGGCGTCCGAGGTTGTGCCCAGCCAGAAATAGGTTGTATGCTAGGGACGTAGAGACCCCGTATTTCCCCAGAAACATGTATACAGGATTACGTGAGAAATCTGCGGCGATACCTTTGTCGCTGTAAGGGATGGCAGAGCACATCCCGTCTTCGCCTTTGAAGCGCCATAAGTGGAAAGGACATTCGAGGCAGTCCCCGCGAACAGCACCGCCTACGGCCATATTGGCTCCCAGATGCGGGCAGTAAGCATCCAGGATGTGCACGACGCCTGCAAGCGTCCGGAACACTGCGAAGTTCTCACCTGCACATTGATACAAGTTGTGTAGCATATACAGGATATGCATCGACTTCGATCTGTAAGCATATGACTAACTAAGAAATTAAGGGACAGGGCATCGAAAGAATTAATTAACAAATTATCAACGAACTAATTAATGGGAAGGCTAAGAAACTCACAAACTGCTAATATTTTACTAGGCTCATAATGCAATACAGCAATTTAACACGCTTGTTCTAAAATGGAATAATTCTTAAGTTACATATATTTGAGAAGCACCACGAAAAAACCTGACGTTTAAAGCTAGCTAAAGAAATAAGGGCAGGTCACAATAGCCGAGCGGTCTAAGGCATGTACTGTCTTCGCTCGCTTGGAAACCGGGATCGTGGGTTCGAATCCCACTCAGGGCATGGATGTTTAGTTTGTGTGTGGGCGTTTTTCTGCGTTTATGTACAGGTAGAGCGAGCTTCCGAGTGAGCGAAGACAGGACATGCCCTATTCCGCTCGGCTACCGTGACCGGCTAGTAATAATATAATTGGACGAAACCGAACACCCCGGAAATAAACCTGTCTCTCTCCCTGTCCATATCCCATGATTTCGACCACAAATCCCACATGGATTGCCTTTAGACTAAATTCCGGGCCTCGGCGGTGAGAAGCCGACGGCAAGCCATTTCAGCAATGACATTGTCGGTTAATTACCTGACAGTTCAAATCTCGGTGTTCTTGGTTATGGTAGCGAGAGCATATGTAAGATTTGAAGTCTTCACGGCGGTGACTATGAAGAAAGCAGTCTTCTGGGTTGTGGAGCCGTGTAGATGTTGTGTTAACCGACGTTTCGGAGGAACGTATCGCCTCAATCTTCAAGGGAGAAGAAAAAGGGAGAAAATCCGCTAGCGAGGAACCAGCGTGTACAGGTGCTAACAGACTAATGTCGAGTCGAATAAACCCAGTTGTCCATGCCCGATTATCATCGCAGCCCCGAAGCTTCAGGTTTAATGCCCTCCAATTAACCTTGCCTTTCTCCCCCCGACACAATATTCTATACCTGCTCTGGCCTGCTACCTGCTGGCCCATCTCCCCAGACCCTTCCCCTCTCCTCTCTATTGATTTCCCATACAGACACTCTCCCTTCTCTTCCTGCTCTTATATAGTTGGGTTGATTCGATTCGGCATTAGTCTGTTAGCACCTGCTAACGCTGGTTCATTGCTCGCGGATTTTCTTATTTTTTCTACCCTGAAGATGGAGGCGATACGTTCCTCCTAAACGTCGGTTAATACAATATCTACACGGCGCCACATCCAAGGAGATTGCTTTCTTCAGCAAGAATCTAGTTCAGAGTTCAGCCATCAGAGGTGTGAGGTGCGAAGTGCTTCTTTCCTGCCTCAATGCAATCCTCAACTTGACGTGGTACAGAAGATGCTGGACCTTGACGTTGTAATTATACAAGCTGGCGTTCTTGAAATTTTACTTTAATAAATTTTTATGTCAACATTTTCCACAACTGTGGTGGTTGGATGAGGGAAACGGGATCAATTCTAGGGTGGTTCGTATAGGAATTTTGGTACAAGAAGCAGCAATCGGAAAATCATCAGCTACATAGATGTAAATTTCTCGTTCCTGAGATTTGCGAGATATCGGACTACTAAGGGACATTTCGGGCCGCGCCATAGCTCAAGCGGTTAGTTGCTGGCTTCCCACCGCGACGGCCCGGGTTCGATCACGAGTCTGGTCAAGTGGAATTTGTGGTGGACAAAGTGGCGCTGGGACAGGTTTCCTCCGAGTACTTCGGTTTTCCCTGCCAATCTTCATTCCACCAATTGCTCCACAATCACCCTCACCTATCATCTGGAGCTGGTACAATAGACCAGAAGTGGCCGCAGTACAAGGGACTTAGTCCCACCACACTAGCAATAAACAAAAAGGAAAATTTCACGAATTTGGCTTGAATTTGGATGTTACATCTAACTCCAGGCCTTTACTGCAATATATGTGTATTAAGAACAAGTATTTCAGTTTTGGAGACTAAAATAGGTTACCAACAATGGACTTCCGGCAAGAATATGGAAGGATCAAATTTAATCCTCGCAACAGAACGAGCTAGGAGCTCAATCTGTAATTTCATCGTAAAGAGACGTTAGAATTGGCCTCCCCGTTCGAACCTAAACTCGCCTAATTTATTGAGAAGTGAAGTTGTCCATGTGCTTGACGAGCTAAGCACTACGCCATGAAGACAAATGGGGGGCAGTGGATGTATAAACCCACGTCTCCTTGACCTCGGATAATAGTATTTGGAGTGAGTAGTCAGCTTCAGGCCCTGGCCACTTTATCTCCTGGGAAAGAGCTCCCAGTACCCAATAGATAGGGAGTTTGGGGGCCACATGGTGGATGACATGGAAAGGAGAATATTATTGCCCTTCTCGGGACTCGAACTCCGACCCCTCGGCCTTCCAGCCCGTAGCCAGTCGCTATACCGACTGCGCTATTCCGGCTCTCCGTTTGATTTATTGTAGGCCGAATATAAATTCACAAGCCAATCACGTATATTCAACTATTTGGCGAATAAATAAATCAACTAATGTGTTAATCGACTAGGAATTATAAAACCAATTGTCTAAACAATTAATCAACCAATAAGTGAATCCACCAATCAATTGCCTATTCAAATTTCCAAATAAAATACAAAATTGGCCTGCTGTGCGATCAAATAAATCAACAGTAAAGAGTGAAGCCACCAATTCTCTAATCTGCAACAAATCAGTCAATTGATTAATCAATTGATCAATCACCCAGCCAAAATAGAAATTCAGTTACTATACTAAACAGCCTTCAAATCTCTCAACCAATCAACCTGTGTGCTAACCAGAAATTCCCCTGATCAACCGAATATTTATGTACTAGTTACCTAGAGCCGCGACATGTTTCACGTTCCCTGGAGCCAGATCTGTAGAGTCGAGCAGCGAGAACCAGCCGTTGGGGTACACAGGCGGCAGTTTGCCGACTTTCCTCAGTCTTCGTACCTCCCTCACCAGTTCGCTCTTGTTTCTTCCCTTGCGCCGGGCCAGACCCAGGCCACTGTCTTCCAGCAGATGATCGTACCCCACGTCACTCAAGTCCTGTAACAGGCAGTGTTCACAGTGGCCCTGTACGAACCAGCTACAAATACTGATCCTGCTCTCGTCCAGCGAACAACAAACCTCAAAATTAGATCTTAAAATTCACATAAGAGTGAGCCAACCTTCTACTGCCCCACCACCAAAAATTTTAATTACACCAGGCAACACATTCAAAATTATATTTTAACATTCAAGCATAAAGTGGCCGAATTCAACAAAAAAATTTGTGCAAAATATTTTTCTTCCAGTGTTTAATGGATCCCGCCACTCCTGGTAGGTATTTACAAAACTGTATTCAAAACCAGGAGCTAACAGGCCATGCTCAGAATGTTTCCAACTCACTAGTAGCCCCAGGCGCATTTCCAGTCATGTAGGTTTACACATTTCCACTCCTGTACTTATTTTCTGTGATGCCGATTAACTTTTGAGTTCAGTGACAATCACACTGACATGGATGATTCGCCAATAAAAATTGTGAATTTCATTCGGATTCCGGAGGCTGTCCACCCCGAGAGAGGATATTTTTCGATTTCTTCGGCAGACCCAGGCAAATATCAAGACAGTACCAAGCCATGATGATACGAGCTTTCTTAACGTCAGAAAATGATATAATAAACTCGTAGATCAGTTTCTCATATGTTAAAAAATTACTCCATACAACATATGTTTGAGAAACTAATAATAATAATAATAAGCAAGTCAAGAATTTCGTTGTCTCCTATAGAAACTGAAAGTTGAATAGCGTGCTCATTAACAGACAGAGGTTGTGACTGGCTTTATCCGGACCAGGACAGGTTAAAGGAAAATGTATCTTTGTAACAGGACTTGGAGACCCATAGGGGTGTGAGGGGTCGAGGCTCCCACATCTTCTAGAGAAGCCCTGTCCAACGCGGCGCCCATGGTATATTTTTCTGGTGCCCTCCATAACCACATATAATTGAGCCGATTTTTAATATTAATTCAAATTGTAAGACGAGAGACATTTTTGAACGTCTGAGTACTAGTAAATATTTTCGAAAAATTTTATTATTATT